TGTTGGGCTTGAACATTGACTCACGATTCTTCTGTATTGTTCTCAATTGGATGGTTACTCGGTTCCATTGTACTATCTGCTCTGGCTTTGACTACTTGGACTTCAGTGTGAATTTGCAATCTGGATTTATGTGCTTCGTCCATATTCATGTTCCTTGCATTTCCCTTCTTTTTTTTTTTTTCTTTTTTTTTTTTTTTGCGGTTTCTGTTTTCTTTTTTGTTGTGGTGGACTGGTGGTTGCTCGTTTCCGTTTTGAAAAAGAGCGACCACCAGTGCCAGCCGGGGCTCTACCAAGCGTCCACCAGGCCGATAGTGCCAATGCGAAACTGGCCCGGTATCTGAATCTGGACGCGGCATCTGAACTAAGGGGTGCAACTGTACGTACTGGGCCCCAGGCGCAGCATCAAGGGAGGCCGCCCATATGGAAGGCCGGCATATAGGCGAGGCAGACGAGGCAGATGGGACATTCCGCCATTGCGAGCAATGCCGGCACGCTGCTGTGCTGCTGCTGGCTTGCGGTGCACTAAGGCTGAGGGAGGTGGCTGGCGCTGAGCGGTGGGACGCAGCCTGCGTGCAGGGCGCCAGCMGACATAGCCGGGCTGYTGGGAGGGCGCCAGGAGRAGGTGAGGGYGAAGGTGGTCTTCRGGAGAGAAGGGCGCTGTGTGGGTAAGAAGAGGTGTGAGTGGGGATGATGTGGCACGTACCTGGTACATGGAGGAGAGGTTGACTACGGTGTTGAGGACTTTGAGGTCCTCGTACTCTGGTCTTGAAGTGTTGAAGTGATCCTGTTGCATAAGTCAAGCTGTAGTAGATACGACAAGTAGTGTAGTTTTGTTTTGGGCGACTGCATCGACATAGCGACGAACCTGTGGCATAGGTGTTGTCTGCTCTGCACGTTTTCGATTAATGTATCCGGTTTTGTCCTTCTTTTTATGTTTTTGGTTTTTGATAGTTGAGGTTTGTTGATTTCCTTTTCTAGTCGAAGATTCAAACACTGTAACATAGATGTTGGTTTTTCATCGTTGAAGGTTGTTGATTTCTTTTTGTTGTTGCTTTGTTGTGTGTTTCTGTGTTGTATCTCCGTTTTTGTTTTTCCTTTCCTGTCTAGGTTGTTCATGCAGTTCCTGATTCTCCATTTCGGGCAGTTCCTTTGCATTCTGCCGCCGCTCGCATCTGCTTTCTCTCCACTTTACGACAACATCTTATCGTATTGCCGGTGTTTCAGGCTTTCAGCATTTCGCACCCCAATGGCAAGGGTCCGGCGGACTCATCCAATGCCGCCAAACAAGGTCACAACACGAAGATGTTCGACTCGCCGTTCAAGGTTGATCCGGCAATCGACGGCAAGAGAGATGACCCTGTGTGGCATTTCATCGCACGAGGTCGTTATTTGGATGGGTCCACTGCGGCTGGTAGAAAGAGTGGTCGTCGCTGCCTGTGCATGTTGTGCGGGCCTTCGATTTGCGGGGGCGCTAAGGCCGCCAAGGAACACTTCTCGAAGAGCGAGAAGTTCAGATGTGAGGCGGCCACTGCTGCAGTGTGGCATGCCATTTGGTCGAAGGACATGGCGAAATGTCCTAAGGACTTCATATCGGCTACTAGGCTTTGCAGATCTTACCTCACGGTCATCCGAATTTCCAGTGGCCACCGTTGCGATTCCCCGAGGACTCGGTGCCGGCCCCCGTTTCCACCACCGCCCCCGAGGGGCGGTGCCTTTGACAGGTCCTGTTGTTCGGGTTACAGTACCGCGATGCACACCGCCACGTCTACCAGCTCCAACGTCTCCACCGCTGACTGGGACACAGGGTGTAGGCGCTTTGCACGTTGGTCGGTCTATGCCGGCCAATGAGCCCCCTTTCGTGCGGGGGGATGTGGAGTGTGCAGCGTTTGACGAGCACGACACACGTGCTTTTGTTGAGAGCCGCACGTGGGGGAGGGATGTTGGCACTTCGGCCGGAAAGGCCCCTGTGTTTACTAGTGTCAGATGCTCACCAGCTGCACAGGCCAGTACTGTTGCGGCCCCTGCTGCAGCTGCTCGCGGTTCGTCGGACCACCCTTGGTTGCCGCCTCCGCCGTCGAGAGTGGCGCAGGGTGCGAGCGCCGACCATGTTGCTACGACGGACAGACCGGATCCTCCACGCGTACATGCGGATGCTCGACAGGCTACTTCCCTTCCTCTAGTTGGGGAACAGGCAGTGCCCAGGGCGGGTGCTGCTGAGGTCCCCATTCCGGTGTCTGATTCGTAGCCGACCCCGCTTCCGGCGACGACAGGTGCTTCTGCAGTTGCTCCTCCTATACTTACCGGTACGTTGGATCCTTTGTACCGCATGCGCGACATTGCAGTGGCCCAGAGCGCGGCACCTGCGAGTCCCGGTGGGTTGTTGGATGCCGGGATCCTTGGCGGGCGAGCCACGACAGGATGTGGCCGGGGCACCTATCGGCAGCAGGCCGTCACGTCGTATTACTCGGACCCTTTGGAGCACGCGTGGCATTTGCAGATTATGTGCTTCATCGTCGAGAGTGGGATGGCGTTCAACTGCGTGAAGCTTGAAAGCTTCAAACGCATGTTCACGATGATCATCCACCTAGGGGTTCCAAGGGCTCCTATGCCCAAACTGCCCACGTACCACCTGGTGCGCACGACCCTATTGGACGAGCTGGATGCAGAGGTCCAAAAGTGTGTTCGCCCACTCATTGACACGACGAGAGAGCATGGTTGCACAATCATGACCGACGGTTGGACCAACATCCGAGGTCAGACATTGCGCAACTACCTTGTCGAGACGGAATTGGGGGCAGCGTACGTGACCATCGACGTCGTGCACGACAAGAAGGACGTCATTGCGCTCGCGACCGCGTAGTTGAAGAGGGTGAAGTCCATGGACGTGGATTTGAATGACATCACAGCTTTCGTGATGGACTCCCTGGGGTAAACGTCGCGACAATGGAGGTTTTCCAAAAGGACGAGAGCGTCAAACACATCTTCTGGATTCCTAGTGTTGCCCATGTGATGGACCTCATTCTTGAGGACATCGGCGGGATTGATTGGGTGGTCGCTCGCATCCCGCAGGCGAGGTTGGTGACGAGGTTCTTCAAGCGCCATGGCCACGCGCGAGAGGTTTTGGAGGTCTTCTCGAAGAAGACCCTTTTACTGTCGGCGGAGACTCGTTTCGGGACGAACGTCATTATGATGTAGAGGCTCGTGGACTTGCGGGGAAAGCTCACGCAGCTCGTGGACGACGACAGGTGGCGTGAGACTGTTTGGTCGACCAGCAAGATCTGCAAGGATGCCGCAGAGGTCACTTTGTGTATCGGGTCTCCTCCATGGTGGGAGAATTTGATAGCTCTGTGCATAATGTTGGAGCCTATCATGAATATGTTGAGGTTGGTCGACGGCGACACATGCCACATAAGCAAGATTATGCGTCGTTACGAGGTCATGATCGCATCTTGCTTGTCTGCGTGTCGCGACATCGACCGGGAGCAGCAGGATGTTATTTTGGAGGTGTTCGATAAGCGGCGCACCATGTTTCGGACACCTGCCCACACAGCAGCCATGTTGTTGGACCCGAGTTCCGAGACCCAACGCTGAACGACGACCAGGAGGTGTAGAAGGGATTGATCGAAGCCTTGGTCCAGCTCGGCTACCCGGAGGGATCAGTGCAGCACGACTAGGTCCTTAAAGCGGTTGACAAGTTTCATACAAAGGAGCCTCCTTCCGATGATGTGAGCATGCGGTGAGCAAGAGCGAGCTACGACCACCCTGCCAGTTTTTGGTCCGCGAAGAGCGTGAAGTACCCTCATGCAGCCGTCTTTGCCAGTAGGATCCTTCGCATCTGAGCGACTGCGCGAGAGAGCATGGTCTCGCTGGAGCTTCATTCATTCGAAGTCACGGAACAGGTTGGAGGTTGCTCGGGCTGGGAAGCTCGTGCGGTGCCACTGGAACCTCAGACTACACGACAGACCGTCGTTGTGTGACGATACTCCTGCTCACAAACCCGATGTCTTCGGGAACTGAATGCATTATTGGCAGGCCGTGGAGGATGAGGTGGCAGTGGACCAGCAGCTCGTCAGAGGTAGCGGTGCGTTGGCGAGGGTGACTGAGGAGGAGTTGACTCACGCTAGAGAGAGGATGCGCATCGTTTCCCGCATGGGAGCCATGCGACGGGTGGCGGAGTCCGACAGGAGGCGATGCAGGGGTGGAGGTCGCGGACATGGAGGGCGTGGGCGATCAGGTGTCGGAGGAACAAGGCATGGCGGCGGGCATGATGCGTCTTCGACTCGTCGACAGCGGGCGGGCGTTTTCATCCGCAAGGCCCGCCAGCGTTGGGACGAGGGAGACTTTTTGTTCGACAGCTCATCCAGCGACGACGATGATTTCTTCGCATTGGGGACGCCCGCGCGTACGGAGGATGAGAGAGGAGATGGCGACGATAGAGGTGATGGCGGAGGTGGCGGCGAAAGGGGAGGTGATGGTGGAGGTGGCGGTGCCGGGGG